TCTAATTCAACTCGTTGTGATGTGCAGTATTGAATTCTTGAGTTTGGTATTTGGTTCAGCTGTTATCAAATAGCCTTTGCATGCTTGTATTAATTCTTGGTTAAAGTCTTGAAATGAGAAGGGAACTAAAACATGTAAGAAAAAATTAAGCTGAAATGAAAGAAATTGCCACTTGATGTGTGTATAAGCGGATTCTCGTCTTGGTTTAAAGTCTTGAATTGATTTTACCTTGACACTAGTTCACTCATATGGTCCACAGTTTGACTTATGTAATTCACACCATTCATTATACAGTGTTTTTAATAGTAAATGAGCTGTAACATCTGTCAGCAAAAGCACTCAAAGGGAGGCAATTAGCAGAGTGACCCGCACCTATTTGTTTGTTCTTTTATGTAATGACTGAGTGACTTACAAGGTCTGTTGTTTTTAAAGTTTTGTGTTACACGGAGCACAAGACAAATGTCGTTTGGAGTCGCACATCAACATGATGTAAGGTTAATGTTTTTGAGCTTTTGCAGTGGCTCCAGTTATGACTTTAGTTATACAATCAGTCGGCTTTTTCTCTCCACATTTCTCCAAACACGCATCACGCCATGAAAGGTAGCAGTGTTCAGTTCCACATTCTCGCATAAGGTCAGCGGCAAAAGTCTGGGGTTCATTTTCTTTAAGTTAAAAAAAAAAAAAGATTAATGACCTGACCTGATCAGCAAAAAAGTCAGAAGTAGGCCTAAATTGTTTATAGAATAAGAATTTAAAAAGCCCTCAGAGCTAAATATTATATCCCTGCATTCTGTTATTCTTGGCCTTTTGACCTATTTGGACAAACAAAGCAGATAAAGGCTGAACAATGACACGCAGAGAAATGTCTGTTTCAGGCTTTTAGTGAACAGAAGTTGAAGCTGATGTATAATTCTTCTCTGTGAAAAGGAAGTGCCCTCTTAGCCTCAGAAGTTAATATTAGCTCTTTGAGCTAAAATAGCTCGTTGCAGCCATTTTGCATAATTGCATAGCAGTCTCTGATATAGCCTCTGAAAATGTTCACTACTTTTCCATGTTAAATTCCTTCAGTGCAAGATCTCAAATCCTGCCAACAACATTTCAATGGGATTCAAATCTCAGCTGTGATTACTCTGCTACATGACTTTATTCGTCTTCTAAACTATTCCTTGGTTGTTTTTTAACTGAGCTTCAGATACCCAAATGGAACAAGTTCAGCCTTTGGACACCTTCATGTTATTTTTTAGCATTTGTTGATCCAATATAAGATTTAGAATTGAATCAGTGATTCAGTGATTTGTCTGTCCCGAAAAAGCCTGCAGTCTCCTTTATGAGAGAGTGTGTACGATCCATGCAAAAAAAATCTGCATGAGCACATAAGAAGAAATTGGAGTGAGGAAAAAAGACAGAAAAGGCAAGAAATGAATAAATCAAAAATCTGCCAGTCAAACAGCTACCTGCTGTGTGCTGCTCTTGTCAGTAAGAGCACATCTGAAAGTAGCTATGTATGCTGTGCTTGTAATGATAATATGTAGTGTAATAATAATTTTGGGAGATCTGTCTGCTGGCCTTGTTATGATGCTATTACAGCTATTATATATTGCTGCTATACTGTAGTATAGCAGCATAACAGCACTATCACCTCACAGTAACAAGGTCCAAGATTTGAATCCAGCATGCAGGCTATGTGATCTCCTCCAACAGTCCAAAGGCATCCACGTTTTAAGCGATGAGTCTACAATATCTGTAAGTACTGAAAGCAAGTGAGTGAGTGTGTGTCTGTGTGAGACCTGCAAGAGACTGGCAAGTTGTTCAGAGTGTACCCCACCTCTTGCCATGAGACAGGCTCCAGTCCCCAAAACCCTGAATTGGGTAAGTAAAAGAAAATGTAGTGATGGATGGAAATGTTTTATCTTTTAAAAGGTTGTGATGGTGCTGATATTCCTGGTAAGAAGACAAAGTGTGTAAGAGCCATCACATTGTCTCCAGACAGTAAGACAAAAATACACATTATGCACAGACTTATAAGTGACACCCACGGCTGCCTTTCCTGTCACCTGCTGCATCCTGTCATCATCCTGTGATGCTGCTGTAAGTGCCACAATGTGTGTCTGTAGGATACAGTCTTTTTTCTCTCCTCTACACTTTGGGTATAAAAAATGTGATGAGGAAAGTTCAAAATAACGAGTGGAACTGAAGATTTGATTTGGCTCATATGTATGGGTTACTCACACTGCTGAATTTATGTGGGTGCAATAATGATTTCTTAATATTAATATCTCCAATCTGGCTTCAGTTCATTCCTTTAACACCTGTATCTACAGGTTCCCCTCTTTCAGCAGACTTAGATTTGTGCATTGCCTTCTTTTTGTGCATAAGCCACATTTATAAATGAGAAACCATAATCAGTATGGATCCGCACTAAACCTGTAGACTTTGCCTGTATGTTCACTGGCAAACTGTAGCTGTCTAGCCTGCCTCACATAAATGTAATTGTCTGAGTCCTCTTTGACTACATGTGTAAAGGAGTAACTTTCAGATGCCATGTCTTCACCTTCTTCTTCCAGCACACCGATGCTGGTGGAGCCAGTCCTGAAAAAAACAGCAGTTTGAATTCAACCCTGTAGCTGATATCACTTACAGAGTGATGATTTACTAAAGTATTTTTAGTGCAAGACATGCACAAATGTGTGAAAAGCTGTAAGGATGTGATTTACTTTTTCCATGCATCTTACTTTTTTGCTTTTTAAATAAAAACAAACATAAATTTGTCTTTAACAATCAGAAAGCATCAGATAAAGTTAGCATATTCCATGGGCTGTACTGTACTTGTTGTTACCCAATATAACACTTAGAATAACTCAGAATCACTGCCCTAATTTTGCTCATGCATGTCAGCACATCAAGCACAAAGCCACTCCTAAATAAAAGCACAAACTAACAAGTCACTCAGCGTTTCCTGTTAATGTAACAAATCAATTATCCCTCATTTCCTGTACATCTAAAGAGCCAGTTTGCTCCGGTTTCCTGTTTGTGTCTCGAAGGAACGATATTTGCCAGCAGAGCAGCTGTCTTGTTTGTGACAGACCACATGCACACGTCAAACAACTTCTAATAGCTGTCTTATCACATTAACATCACATAAACATGCCATGAACCCATCAGGAGGGCAGCATGTGTACGTGTGTGTGCCCACTCCTTTGTTCAGTTGATACTGCTGTACCTAAAGCTGATGGACCTAAAAAACATGTTAGCTAACAGATGGCTATTTATACATCCAGCAGACATAGGGCACACAGCATTAACCTTAATATTCATACATCTCTGATGAAAAACAACAACTAGAAACAGATATGCGCAATTTAGCTGCTAAACGGTCCTCTATACTCAGCGGAGTTTTCACTGTGCTGGTGCTGGGCAGGTCATACAGGAAGAGCTTATGTGAGCTTGATCACTGAAAACAGCTGCCTGTTGGAACTGAGGGTTATACAGTGGGGCAAAAAAGTATTTAGTCAGCCACCGATTGTGCAAGTTCCCCCACCTAAAATGATGACAGAGGTCAGTAATTTGCACCAGAGGTACACTTCAACTGTGAGAGACAGAATGTGAAAAAAAAATCCATGAATCCACATGGTAGGATTTGTAAAGAATTTATTCGTAAATCAGGGTGGAAAATAAGTATTTGGTCAATAACAAAACTACAACTCAATACTTTGTAACATAACCTTTGTTGGCAATAACAGAGGTCAAACGTTTACTATAGGTCTTTACCAGGTTTGCACACACAGTAGCTGGTATTTTGGCCCATTCCTCCATGCAGATCTTCTCGAGAGCAGTGATGTTTTGGGGCTGTCGCCGAGCAACACGGACTTTCAACTCCCGCCACAGATTTTCTATGGGGTTGAGGTCTGGAGACTGGCTAGGCCACTCCAGGACTTTCAAATGCTTCTTACGGAGCCACTCCTTTGTTGCCCGGGCGGTGTGTTTTGGATCATTGTCATGTTGGAAGACCCAGCCTCGTTTCATCTTCAAAGTTCTCACTGATGGAAGGAGGTTTTGGCTCAAAATCTCACGATACATGGCCCCATTCATTCTGTCCTTAACACGGATCAGTCGTCCTGTCCCCTTGGCAGAAAAACAGCCCCATAGCATGATGTTTCCACCCCCATGCTTCACAGTAGGTATGGTGTTCTTGGGATGCAACTCAGTATTCTTCTTCCTCCAAACACGACGAGTTGAGTTTATACCAAAAAGTTCTACTTTGGTTTCATCTGACCACATGACATTCTCCCAATCCTCTGCTGTATCATCCATGTGCTCTCTGGCAAACTTCAGACGGGCCTGGACATGCACTGGCTTCAGCAGCGGAACACGTCTGGCACTGCGGGATTTGATTCCCTGCCGTTGTAGTGTGTTACTGATGGTGACCTTTGTTACTTTGGTCCCAGCTCTCTGCAGGTCATTCACCAGGTCCCCCCGTGTGGTTCTGGGATCTTTGCTCACCGTTCTCATGATCATTTTGACCCCACGGGATGAGATCTTGCGTGGAGCCCCAGATCGAGGGAGATTATCAGTGGTCTTGTATGTCTTCCATTTTCTGATGATTGCTCCCACAGTTGATTTTTCCACACCAAGCTGCTTGCCTATTGTAGATTCACTCTTCCCAGTCTGGTGCAGGTCTACAATACTTTTCCTGGTGTCCTTCGAAAGCTCTTTGGTCTTGGCCATGGCGGAGTTTGGAGTCTGACTGTTTGAGGCTGTGGACAGGTGTCTTTTATACAGGTGATGAGTTCAAACAGGTGCCATTCATACAGGTAACGAGTGGGGGACAGAAAAGCTTCTTACAGAAGACGTTACAGGTCTGTGAGAGCCAGAGATTTTCCTTGTTTGAGGTGACCAAATACTTATTTTCCACCCTGATTTACGAATAAATTCTTTACAAATCCTACCATGTGAATTCATGGATTTTTTTTTCACATTCTGTCTCTCACAGTTGAAGTGTACCTCTGGTGCAAATTACTGACCTCTGTCATCATTTTAAGTGGGGGAACTTGCACAATCGGTGGCTGACTAAATACTTTTTTGCCTCACTGTACACATGATAATGGGACTGGAGCGTAAACCTGTTGACCATTAAATAAAAAGATTTTTGAAGGAATCCAAAAAGTTTTAAGTGTTGGGAAGCTGTTCGTTTGTTCGTTGTGATGAGTAACACCTTTAAGGTACATAAAATAATTTGATCTATACTTAATATAACACTGGTTATTTTGCTGTAAAAATTTCTCTCCCCTGACTTTCCACTGATTTGCTTCACAGCGAAGAACGAGCATCGAAGACCAATTTTACATCCAGATAAATATTTTATTGTTGCTATCTCGTGCCATAAATGAAATGTGAAGGTCGTAAAGCACTACGCGGTCTGCTCATGTAGTCAGTTTAATTATTATTGCCATGATATGCATTTGAAATTACACTGAAAGAACATTTGAAAAACAAGTCATTTTGGCATCATGGTGAGATGAAATATATAAAAACAAAAGCCACAGGGAATGTTTCACATGGCTAACAGCAACACTACAGTTTTAAATAAATAAAAAATGAATGAATGCTATGTAAAACACACGCGCGCACACACGCCCAGACACATCCACATAAATTCTTTCAGCAAACATATACATCAAAGCAGTCGATAACACTAATAAAGTACAATACAATCACCTGTCCCTTTCAAAAATGTAATTTCAGTGAGACACATGACATGGGGCTATGGTGGTTAGTTCCTGATTTTGTTTCGAAAATATACTGCATATCTATTTATACTTTTCCATATAAACAACAATGCTTCTGATAATCTTAATTTTTTTAATAATTCTAAAATACTTCTATAATATTCAAAAGGCGTATGTACAATTTTCTCCCCGCAGCAGGTTTTTATGTAATCAAATCAGATTCTTCTAAAATAGAAGAATAAATTAAAGTCTGAGCACTTGTGTTTGGAAGCCCAGTGGGTTTAAGAGCCGATAGACGTTGTTTGTCCCACGCCCACGTACTCTCACAGAGATACTCAAAGGACATGTGGTCCCAGTTGCTGTTGGAGAAAATATTTAAGCTGAAAAATTACTTAAGTGATTTCTCAAATTTTCAGAGCAACTAATAGCTGTCTACTATAACTGTGTAACCCATAAGGCACTGATGAGTTGTGTAATTAGTGATAACACTACCTCAGTTTGAGCTTCTTGTTCTCCCTACTGCATACTCTGTGCTCACTCTGTGTAAATTAAGTGAAACTCAGACCTTTATGTTTCAAGTTATATGAACTCGCATGCACATCAAAGCCCAATCTGTAAAGAGATGAGCCCTACTGCCACGCCTTTCCAGTTCACTTCCAACGTAGCAAACTTTCTGTGCCCAAACATCCATGGAGTGAACAGCTAGACCAGACTTTTTTTTAAGAGCAGTATATTTGAAACCGCGTACGTGTACCAGTTTTATTTAGAGTCCTTATAACCATTTTACTAGAGGGCCACAGTCCATATCTGTGAGATCACTATAGGTAGTGTGAGGTGAAAGCTCAGTAAAGACAACGAGAAGATCGAAGGCACTGGTGCTGCTGAAGGAACACGATGATAGTTGTACTGGCTTTGGATTCTGTCAGGCGGCTGCACTGTGATGTAACCATTGATGATGCGAACCATTGGGGGAGGCGGGGACTGCACCACAGAGCTGTAGAGAGAAAAGAGGCAAAAACATGGATTTAATAATGAAGATTTATAATATTTCTCAATTGAATGATGGGTCCTAAATGCTGAACACAAAACAGAATGATTTTAATTGGTATAATTAACGAGGATCCTGCATTCATTCTTTATTTGCATTTCTTTCACTGGTTTGTGGGCAAAGGGAATGAGTATTAGTGTGGGTAATACTCCCCCCCCCAGGCGCTCCCCAACTGAAAAAAAATTGGTTGCACAATGATGCTGCGCATTGCACACTGACACAAATTAACACTCATTAATGCAAAATAATTTAATTTCTGTCAACTACATCATGGTTTAGCCTTTAAAGGGTTAACTGAATGATGGCTTTCACAATGAACCCATCTTCACTGCTGTGACATTAACGTTTGCTTACATTCATTGATTTTTTTTCACTCTTTTTATTACAGGAAAAACAAAACAACATCAGATCTTAATTTCAGAGGCTTTAAAACTCTGTATGCTGCAATTAGTAAACTACACCATAATTTTTCTACAGGCACTGGCTCCCATTTTGCAATTTAGAGTCACTACAGACTGGGTAGGGTCTTATTAATTCCAGACTTTTACTTTTTCTTTTTTTTTTAAACAAAAAGCATTTTGTTTTGTTTCTGCACTGTACAATTCTTTGGTACTGTAGGGGAAATTGTGGCAGGATCAGCAGGAAAACCAGCCTCTCTCCCCATCCACACATTGTCAAAAATTGCCAGAGAAAATATGCAGACTGCAGAAAGTCAACAATGGAAACATTAATGATGATGAAAGCCACAAAGAAAAAGTTCTCTGACAGAATTTCTGGGTGCTCAAATCACTGATCCTCACATGACCAACTGCCAATAAACCTGAACGCTATTATGCCCTTTGTTAGTCTTCCTTCATCCCCAAATTACACAGACTGAAGTGTCTGTGAGGCAATGACTGCTTTGAGGTGGTCAAAACCACACAGACATCATAGCATTTCCATTTTTATTAAAAAGAAACACTCCTAACATAATGCCACTTTGCCCCAAATTTACATTACTCTTCATACTTATTTGCATTCAGCCAAATACTCAAGGGGCATAGTTTTAGAGAAATTAACTTTAGTTTGTGTGAAAAGGCCTTAAGAGGCGCAAAGAAACCAGGTGTGACATACCATGGCCACACAACAGAGAACTGTGAGACTGGAGTTGCTTCTTTTTCTCAAATTGCCTTACTTTCTCTTACTCAGCCACCTTTTTAGACATTAAAATATACAAGAACGTGCATAACATTGTAACGTCCATGCACAAAGAGTCCGTTTCATTTCTGCTCAAAATACAGGATCTTGCGGATTTAGAGAAAACACTTCTGCAGAAATAATGTACACAAATGTTCACAAACCTCCTCTGTTCACATGAAGAAGTGACACTATTTGTTTAGCTTTTTCTTTCCATCACTAATTTGGACTAGTGCATACTGCATATTGAAATAATAAATACTGGTAGCACAAGTTCAGTTTTACAAACTGCTGCCTGCAACAACTTCTTAAGTCCAGATCTACATCTGAATAACGCTAATGTTAGCTGTTCACCCATTCTCTGTTTCAATTAAGATAAAAATTTCTCTGTTTTGTGTCAAGATCACATGTTGTCCTTTTGTCTTTTCTCTTGCAACCCAAATTTGGGCAAGGCCATGGAAAATTTAAATTCCCCAAAGGTGTGACTGAATAGATTAGGACTAAGTTTATGTGTTGAAGTTCATATTAGCGTTACTACTTCCAACCCAATGACAAAACTGTGTTTTGCCATTGCAAAAAATGCAGGGATGTTTCCACATGGCAGACCACACCTTGTGCAAAAGATTCTTCTTTGTCTGAAAGGTGATCTTATCGTGTTGTCCTGTGAGTTCCTGCCTGGAGCTACTGTGAGACCAAATCCCGATACTTAGCAGGAATTCCCAGGTCGCTCTTTTCATAACCAAGACACCTACACTAGCTTGGAACTAGTCAGGACTCATATACCACTGCAGGGCACACATGTGTATGTGCTGAAGTTTATGCAAACTGCATGAAGTGCATGGTGATGTGATATGGTGGCTGTTTGAGCCTGCAGCACTGCACCAGGAAGTGTCAGTTTTATTCTATATACAAGTGTGAGTTACACATTTCCCCTTACATCCTCTCTGGCTTGTTTCTGAGCTCTTGCTATCATACTCTCATTTCACCTGTGGCCTTTCATCTCTAGTCATTGATAACCCATATATAGAGAAGAAAGACCTTCACCTCTTTACCCCTCTTTCTTTCATCTTACCTCTCCTCTATCCGAACCCAGAGGTCATTAAAATGCCTGTGCCGCTGTTTCTTCTGCTTATTCCTCCTCTTTTTCTTTAGCATTTTTCTCTCAGATTTCTCCAGAACCTCCAGGCTATCTGGTGGCAGAAGCATGTGGGGTAACAGATCCTCCTCCAGAGTATGCCCCTGACCCTCCTCTTTGTGAGGAAGCTCGTGCAAGAAAGGTTCCAGCTGAGGCGACTCATCGTAATGGTCCTCCAGCTCTGGTGAGACGGGTCCAGATGATGATCGCCTAGAGGATGCACATTACAGTAGGGTAAGATGCTTTAGAAAGAAAGAGAAAAGGGGTTCGTTGCATGTCACTTTTATAATAAAATCATCAACTTTAGTCTTTAATCATCTTTAATCCTGCCAACGATGGTGCCAAGCCTGTCTGCAAAAGAAGAAGAGTAGTTACCCTGCCTAGGTGATCAGAAGCAGAAAACTGGGGATACAAGGCAAGGAACCATATGAAGATTATAAGATGATGTTTGCCTGTCCTAAGCAAAAGCAAAAACTTGAAATCTTTATGCTGAAAACACATTTTTGGGGCTGTTTGAATCAAATCACGTGAGACAAAAAGAGATCACTGTTGAAGAACTCATCAAGTGTGGTGAACTATATGAGCTCCAATTAACAATGATCATGGATACGAAGGTGATGCTGGACTATACTGGCGATGAAGCCAGTGTTGGTTTCACACTTCACACTGCAGCCTGCCCACATTTCACCCTGCATATGATTGTCTGGAGGGCTTTGCCATAAATGGAACTTTCATAATGCACCAAAGAAGATGCAGATGAAACAAACTGAGCACATCTTACAGCCTCTGTGCCTTGTCCAAGGATATTGCCATGGACACCAAAGAATGTAAGGACAAGGTCTGTTTTGCTGTTACAGGCAAAATAAATATCACATTTTCCTGTGAGGTCACTGAAACATGGCATTATAGTCTCGTGGGAGAGTCTACAAGTGCAGAGAAAATGCTGAGCAAAAGTAGCAAAGTGCTGAAAGCAGGTTAGAGTGTTTTTATGCAGGCCAGGAGTTTATTCCACCTGATAGTCCTGTTAAAGAGCCTGACAATAAAATATTAACATGACAGTTTAAAGTGAATATTTGATCATAATAAGTAAATGGCAGTGAAACAAGCAGGAGAAATACACTTTCAAATCAAGAGCAGAGCGAAGTCGAGAAAAAAGTATTATTAATTATTAATATTATATATTATTATAAACAGGTCTCCATTCTTTCTCCATTCAGGATGCAATGGAAGGACAAAAAACTAACTACAGTCTAATAGTTAACATAGCTTCTTTTTGTGGAAGAACAAATTACAAGTTGGGAAGCATGAGAGAAAAACCTAAACTCTTCTTTTTGATACTATTTGACACTAGTTTTCCTTTCAAGACACGTTAATCACCATGAATAAACCAATACTGGTAACAAAGAGAGTAAATGCACTTAGACCTGAACAACTGTGATGTCAGATATACTAATGAGAAGTCGAATAATAAATTGTTATACATGGATATAATGAAGGCTGTCTGTTCTCTCAAGACAACATCAAGGTAGTCTATGAACAGGCAAGATGTGGGTTCATCTCAGGCTCATAATACCGTATCAAACACGGGGGCTGTGTGTGAGAAAGTAGAATTACCTATTCATTCACTCAGACACAGGAACAAGAACACAGATTTAAAGCGAGATTACCACCCTCAGTGTGCCAAGGTAGACTGCACTACATGCTTCACAGCAGGAGGTGAGAACCCTACTTAAGTTGGCCTTTTCAACACCACTTCATTGGTGGCCAGCGGGGAATTTGTGACACTTATCTTCCAGTACAATCTAAGCTGAAACAAGAGAAGACTTGCAAAAAGCACACAGGCGGGGAGATGTTACCGAAAACACCATATAGTATATGAGAAACTGCATCTAAAAGCCGTGGATGTCTTACGGTCCAGTCCCGTTAAACAAGCAGCATTATGATGATGATTAGACTGAAGCAAACTCACCGGTTTATGGGTTGCCCAGCAGGTGTGTGCTCCACCTCATATCCCTGGCGACGAAGCACATCAATAACTGTGTTGTTACCCAGAAAGTGACCTGCAACCAATAAGTAGAAAATGATAAGTTTGCTTTTCTGAAAGGAGATGATGAGCTATCTCAAACTAAAATAAGCGGAACATTGTCAGGACAGCACCAGCTCTGTTAGTTTTCTTTCTCGTTTAACTTAAGAGTAAAACAAAAAGCAAGCCTGATATCACCAATCAAAATATTACGCATACATTTATATATATGCTTCTGTCATCATTACAAAACTTATGATTCATACATAAGTAAGTTTTGTGTTGCTTTTCTCTGCATCTCCTATCCATTTGTCATTGCCTCTCCTTTTCCCATTCCTCTTCCACGTCCTTTACTTCGAGCTTTCTTCCTCCATTCTTAATTAATCTTCTACCCTCCATATTATATCTCTTTTCTTCCCTTTCCATTTTCTTCTCTCTGCTCTCCTTCTTTCTTATCTCCAACTTCCCCTCTTCTCCTTTTTTCCCCTCTCATTCTCGTTGTGACCCTCTCAGCTAGGTGAAGTAGGGGCATTGAGGCTTCAGGTTGCCATGTCAAGAGGTCTCCATTCTTCCTCTCACTCTGACAAAAGGGAGCAGGGGTCCATTGTTTGTGCCTGCTCAGCCATGGCACCACAGAGCTGTGTAAACAATGAGCCCCAGCACTTTAATCTGGCCTAGAGCCATCGATAGAGAGAGGTTAGCTTAGATGCACTATGGGTGTCGTGATGCTGCCCAGAGACTTGGACTGAATGCTGGTTAAAACAATGTCACATTATGTCCCAGCCATAGAAAAAGGCCAGAGAAGGGACTTCTACAATGTTTGCATATGATCTGCTAGAGTAAAACAGTTAAACGATTTGTGAGTGTGAACTTTGTGAGTTTAGTCTTAGAAGAAGTCTTTTTGATCCCATGAGCCCTATTTTCTTCTAAAGCCTTTTCTTTTTCCTACGCTACAAGCTAACTGTATATTTCTAATGTATAAACAGAAAAAATACCATTAATTATGCTTTCATATCTTATGTTTTCTCTGTCTTAAGGCACATTTGCCTAATTCAGGTTTGCTAAAATGTGTAGGAGAAAAAACGCAGTTGCCACATAAAAAGACATTTTTTGTACTTGTCCAGTAATCATTAGCATGGTCGGCTAAATATCCAGAAGCCCTTAAACTCACAATGAGAGCTGAACCAGAACGAAACAGAGACACTGTTTTCCAGCTTGCCCAGGTTTAGAAACAACTCAGCATGATTTATGCAAGTTTAAGTCAGGGGATTAAGGTGGGATAAATGGAGCTGTTGAGCACAATATAGAGCCATAGAGAGATGGGTGGACTTCAGAACTTCAAAGGAGCACAATTCACACACATACGTACACACACGCAAGCACTAAGGAGGTAAGCCATCAATTCTGTCATGTCCCCAAAGGCCAGTGTGTTCACGGGGAGTGAGAGCATGTTTGACAAGATGAAAAAAAAAATTAGAGTTCATTTATTACTGAGTTTAAAAAAGTTTTTTTTTTTAAATCCTGTGGCACAAGAAAATAAAATAGAAAGTGACATTTGTGTGCTTTAAATAATAAATATTTTTTAATAACAAGCTATCTTATCAACATGTAGCCAATGCTTTAAAGCAGATTTTAGGGCATGCTTAATCAATATAATAGAAAACACAAGTGGTGAGACTTTAAACTTTCACATGCTTGTTTCAGAGGGACATTTTTATTTTAGGCGTTTTTTTGGATGCCATGCAGCAAACCCTTCACACAAAGACCATTTTATAAGTGTTCCATTTAACATGAAACATGGGAAACTTGCACTCTAATGGTGCGCCCAACTCATGAAATTACAAACAAAAACAAAATGTAGACATCTTTGATTAAAAATGATTGATGCCCCAGGAAAAAGGTATAAAGTGGGAAAAGAAAATTATGTGTTAGGCCTGGATTTTGATGAAATATGGCCTGTGTATGCTGTAACATTTGGCCACTGGCTTTAACCTTATAGGCTGTTTCTTTTGTAGATACTAGTTTCATTTGTGTTATATTAATGTGAATTGTCCAGAGTAACAACATTGCTCATTAATTATATTTATTTTAATTAAGATAAATAAAATCTAAGATTCTTACTTTTGGATACATTTCATTTTAGTACACTCTGTGCCTTTTGATGATAAGATGAAGCAATATTTTCACTAATTTAATGGAAAAGGTTAGCCTACACGAACTTAACAAAACATATACAAGGCCACACCCAGATGTAAGCATGTACCATAAAATATGATTCTTCAGTGAAAGCAAATTCTTCTTAGTATGTGTAATTTGTATGGATAAAAAATTACTAAAGTTACCAGTGCCCTGTATAATGTACCCTGCTCTCGCCCTGTGACTCCTGGGATAGGCTCCAGCCCCCCAGTGATCCTGAATTGGATAAGTGGTTAAGAAAATGGAAATGGGTGGATGGACAGAAAAAAGGAAGGCAGTGTTCTACTGCATACGTGAGAGATAATATCTAAAGGTATCAACAAGCAGAGCTCCACTACGGCTGCCTCCAGCACAGTTTAACTCCTGGTTGTCTCAAGCTAAATCAAAACAAACATATCTTTGTACCATAGTTATAAAAGTTGGAAATTTTGGAGTCTACTGACTCACCATGTTTCTCATTACTAATTAAGTTTAGAGTTTTCTAAGTTAAGGTGTTGTTACGTGTTGTTTTGGGTTGGGTACATAAGCAGTAGTTTATATTTATAGGGTCCCATTCAAAACAGAGCTGCAGGCTGCCGCCCAGCATACAGCCCACGCCACAGTTTTAAGAGCACACTTCTAGAATAACATGTGTGACATCTGACATATTTTCACTGATTACTCATTTAGACCAATTTCATACATTTTACATTTATGAAATTGGCTTTTACTTTGTGTCCTATTGCACAATATATTCACTGTATGGTTTATTTTGTACCACTGAGAAGGGGGGGAATGATACAGATAAAGACCTGTGACCTGAAAGCTTTCATTCACAGCTAACTTCCTTCGTGCAGCTACATGCATACATGAATGGACCTCTGAGTTGGAGTACCATGGACCAGTTCATGTTATGGTTATATAAAAGTGACATCTTTTACAATCATCTACCAGCAGAGTCTAACAATAAACATAAAAACTAAAATCTTTCCAAACACTCTTTAAACATTGTGTCTGAAAGCTGTTACAAGGTAGTCATTTGCATTGTTGCAAAGACTTTTGCTGGAAAGATGGATACATCAGCGGCTAGTCTAGTTCTTACATCCACTTTCCCACACTGTCAAACTCAATGCCGACATCATTGCTCTAGTCCAGTCATTTTCTTGTCTGGTTTCTGTAAGCCAGTTAGCCTCCATTCTGTGTGCTGTAAATATCACTGCTCATTTGTCATTCTGCCATTCAGGCTCTAATTTGTTCAGCCCATCTCCGCCTCACCGTAGTCACTCAAAACTCTATACAAACCTCCATCTTCACCTGCACCACCACCAGCGTCTAAACTCCAAGGGGTCCTGGACTAAATCCTATCATAGCCGGGACTCTGTTGTTATGATGGGTCATCTGAGTCTCATCACCACATAGAATAACTGAATTCTGTATCTCAATAAATTATGTTTCTCTTCATTGAACTTTTATTATGATATTGAGATAACATTACTTTTCTGGTTGACACTATAAAACCAGGAAAGTAACTCTATATAGTCCTGTGAAATACTAAGTACACCCTTAAAGCTTCCATAGGAATCAAGGGGGTAAGCAGATGCTGCTAATCAAATGCACACGATTAACCGATCATCAGCAAGTGTGAGCATCTCTGTATAAACAATAGTTTTGGCAGTTTGGTGGTCTGGAGCATGTGTGTTAACATAACAGGTTAACGTGAGGTCACATAATGCCACAGTCTTCCCTGCAAATTCATCACTAATGTCATAACGTGGAATCCTCAAAGAAGCTGCGAATAAACCGGGAGCTATTTCTCAGCATGCCAAAACAGTTAGAAAAAAACTGAACAGATATGCCTCGTTTGGCATGGTTGCCAGGGGAAAGACTCTTCTCAAAAAAAAGAACATGACAGCTTAGGAATTGCAAAGTTGCAAATGAACAAACAACCAAACTTCTGGTAACGATTTTAGCTTGTTTTGCAACCACAGGGCCCGGAGTCTAGAGCTAAAGGCTAATTGCAAGGCAATCTATCTAACAGCTAAAGAATGTTCAACATTTGGTGATATAGCAGATACCAAGCACACCAGTAAATCTACAGAACAAACACTGGCAAAACAAATCAGGTTTGTTGCAATGACCCAATCAAAGTGAGACTGTGAGTCCTGTGGCAGGCAGTGTTGGTCAAGTTACTTGAAAAAAGTAATCATTAACTAATTTCTGATTACTTCCCCAAAAAAGTAATCCCGTTACTTTACTGATTACTTATTTCAAAAGTAATTAATTACTTAGTTACTTAGTTACTTTTTAAAAAACACGATTTACAACCTGAATAGGTGATAAAGCGATAGATCATTCAGCCCAATTCTACTTTTTCTGCATAATCCATCATACAAAATGGAAAAGTCTCTTTTTAACTTGTTTTATCAGTTTTAATCTTTAAACTTTACGCATCAAGCAAAAATTAAATTATATGCACCATTCTCTGACTTGAAGAAATTAGTTTAACATTTAAGCCTATTTTCTACACATTCCAGCACATAAAATAAAATATTTTTTTGTGTTTACACTCACTCTTTCAAATAGATGCAAGTAAAACACAGCAGAAATTAAATAAAGTCAAAGACTCAGCAGTCCTGTTGCTCTATTTTCACCTCTAAAGCAGGAGTGGGGTAGGCGGAGGTGTGCTCTGGTGCAGGTGTGCCGCAGCAGTCAGTGGAAGAATCCGCGAGTTTCTCTGTGAATTTCCCATTATGTCGTTGCGCACTCGGTGCTTGTTTACACAGCAAATCCAGCATGTCCAAATTAACACTGTCGGATTTGATTTCAACACTATTAAAGTGTCTATATGGGTCCACACCAGAG